ATTCAAATTTACAAAGATTGCGAATGCACGAACTGTCTCCACACACATTAAAACTTACACTGTAAAATTAAAGCTCCTATAGTATAGAGATCGTTTAGAGGGCAGAGAAGTCGACCCTGTACCAAATCACGTCGAATTTGCAGATAGAGGAGATATCTACACAAAATTCAATGTCAAGACAGCAAATTAGCACTAACAACTATGTATGCACAAAATCTATATTCGGCGATAACACATTTACCAACAAAAGCAATCGAGCTGCTCATTACTAAACATTTTTTCCATATTAAAACAACTTACTGGGATATTTCTTGATGAAAGTCAGCAAGTGGATTGCCTGGATAATGCTTCACGCGGAAACTCAACGCAGTGGAATGCGCACCGGTCATTTGCTTTTTAACGCTCCGACCGAGATCAAGCCATTGCTATGCAACACGCAAAAAATACATCAAGCGCCTTACTCTTTGGTTGTTTTTGTCCATGTATCGCAGGCCAAAATAATCCCGTTCGATTATACCACCCAACTCATCACATACTTTGTTGAATAGTACTTGGCCAAGATCGTGTTTCTGTAAGATAAGCATCAAAATGCAGAATTACTGAAATTGTAATTTCTAATGGTTTCTGATCGCTGTCAAGCAATCGTATCTTGTAGGAAATTAAATCTGTGTTCTTTTTAGGGGTGGCAGGTGAGGCGCTTTTGCTGGATTTTGGTGAATGGGAAGACTTTTTCGCACTTGACGTGGCCTTCTGAGATTCTTCCATGCCAGCTTTAGGTTTGGGCATCGTTTTCAGATACTAAAAAATTGCCGGACCACCTACAAAAAACCTCTACAGCAGCCAACAAGATAATATCGCAATCTTGTCAGCCCTCCTGTTTGTAACCAAATACCTTGATTAGCTTAAACAACAATTAAGGATGACAGAATAAAACTTAAAAAATAGCCGTCATCTTATCTCGAAAATTATTTAACTACCGTTGATTTGTTATAAAGTCGTTTAATAATCAGAACAACATTCATAGGTGGTTTTAATAGTTCTATGGGTCATGATATCTTCTTAGTAAATTTGCTTAATCATGCGTGACTAGTAAATTAGCGTCATGATTTCAAAAAACTTTGCCATGTGGTATCTACTAAGCACAATTGCAAGTCTACAAGGTAGTCCGTTTAAAATCACTTAATGGCAAATACAGCTAATGGAAATGGGGATGTGGAGTGGTGCCCATAATTGTAAAATTTAATAGCTGGTCTTGTAATAGGACTTTAAATCCCTCCGGTACACTATAAATTCGTGAACTTACAGTTGCAAAAGGCTGAGGCAATTCAAAGTCAGAATAAAATAATCTTTGTACCTAGTTGGTCATATATACAGAGACTGGGACATCCGGACTAGGTGTTGCTTCTGAGGTGCAAAAAGGAACTCTCGTTTAAAATTTTTCTGCTTCTATCTCGATTGCCGCTCTTTGAGCTCGTGTCAGTCATCACTACGTTGAAAGGGCTTAAACAGAAGCATCCCGGTTCCCATCGTACCAGTTATCGGTGCAATTATGGATGTTCTTATCCATAAATCATTAACCCTTTTTAACAGTTGGCGTGGGCATGAAACCAGGAACGAAAAATCGTGTAATTTGTCATGCTGGTCCAAAGCTAGACGTAAGAACCCTGACGTTAAGATAAGGTAAGAATTCACGTATTTCCTTAAGGGCAGGAAATTGTGTTTATCCCTCCCATAACGTTGGTCTCACTTCACTGCTGTCTTGGCACATTCATTATACGAGTTATTCGGCTTTGTAAATACTAAAAGAATCAGATTAAGAAGATATTGATACTATAATATATACTAGTTTGTTTAAGTTGGCTTTTATAGGAGAGAGGCGGGAACCAATTGGAACGCGAATCATGTGAGCGAAGACGGTGAAGAGTCTCTCTCCTATTCGGTTCATCTGTATCGCAATCCCTATTCTCCCTGTAGCAGATGTCAAATTAATCATCTTCAACCAACCCTCTCTTGAAGTCCAAGTTCAAGGGCAAGAGGGTAGGCAGCTCTTGCGCTGGTGGCAGCCCTTACAGATACCATTCCCTTTCGGTCTTGGGTTCATTGTTCAAATCATTCCTGTAAGAAACAAGTTAAGAACTGTCACCATTTCCCTCAACTTCATCAAACGCACTTTCACTACACAGATAGGGTGTAGTACTCGACAGTGAGGATATAGATGATGTCCCTTAAGAGCAAGACTGCTTTCCTCCACCAATAATGTGCAATTCCAATGCCTTGAAAATATAAAGAGAAGAAAATACTCGATCAAACACCTATAGGAGAGGCTGGGTCTAATGGTGTGGTCCAGAAGCCGGTCCACTCGATAAGTCAACGATGTTGAGGGAACAAAAGTGATCCTTTATCAAAACTGATGCATGACTTGTTTGTGGTGCGAGTTAACGTGGTTTGGGTACTAGAATTGTCTGGATGGCTGATCATCTAGTGGATAGTCAATGACGGTGGTCCTCCTATTGGTTCATTAGCAAGCTCGAGAGTTAGGCAAACAATTAACGTATCAGCTCCTCTTTAATGGGTTGTATGTTTACTTTGTGAGGGGACCGCGATTGTTCCAGGCTACATAAGAATAATAGATGTCCGTGATTAGACATTTGGTTTGGGGACCACAAAGTAAGCATAGCTAGATTTTGAATTTCTTTTCCGCTAACTAGCAGTCGTTAGTCTTCGAGTAATTTTCATTGTACCTGCCCTAGTAACTGAGGTCTTCTTTACCCTTATGTTCGTATTTTGCTACACTTTTGCAGCTACCCAAAGAAGCACAAAAGAATGCAATCCAATCGCCTAATGTTCAATTCTGCAACATCGGCTTATCATTTAGAATCCAAATTACAACAATGAAATCCAGAATAATTCTTGGAGCACAAAAAATCCGATTCTTTTGTGCTACCATTTTAATGACTTCTTTCCTCGCCTACCAATGTTCATATTAGGCGACCGATCACCCGCCCATGCTATCTTTACACTCCATGGCGCCGAAGTTCTGTACCATTTACAACCGTGCCTAGAAGATAACGTCTTGCATATTGTTAATAGTAGAGCTCTATATGTCTTAGTAGTAAAACCCACTTATGATGAAAGATGAAGGACAAATTTTATGTTTAGATTCTAACAATTCGTCAGCCTTACGGTCAAGTCAACGTGAGGCTGAAAACACGTGTAGAGTCCGAGGCTTGCGTGAAAACACTTGAGAGGCTGTATTTTGCTGGAATAGAGAAGTGTCTGTGGGCCACTAGCACAACCCAACGATTCGCTCGTCTAGGAGTGGCACAATACTGGGGTCTTAGAGCGCCCCGTCACCAAATATTGAGAGTTCATCATGCAATCGAAGTAGTGCCCCTAATATCCTTAAAACGACTTTAAAAAGAATGTCTATCCGTAGAATTATCATCACGCAACCACCCATCGTCAATGGATGTCTTTGTTTTAAGGTATTTGATTCTCTTTGATCCCTCAATGGCGGTAGCAAAAGGAGTAGTCTTACGAAGTTGTGGGTGCAGTTAAGGTGGGAGTTTTTGTTTGATAGCCTTTTCTGGGAAGTGTTAGGCCTCAGTTGCATCCATTTTGCTCGCCAATTCAGCGTTGAGAACTTGCCTAAAGTATTCAGAGTCGCCTTCAACGACGTACATGGAGTCGGTTTCACGCTTTCTTCGCTTACTATTATTAAGGGTGAATTTAAACCTCGACCTCCCTTTTTTCCATTTGCCAACAGCTCGATTTACAAATTAGGAGTAGTGGAGTTGTGTATTGTTGGAATGCAAATTTCGCTGTACTCGTGACAGTGATTGCGACCGGAGTGATTACTTCTGTTCACAGGGAACAGTAACGATGCAAGCAGCGTGCTTTTATCTTCCTGGCATTCCAACAATCCATTAATTGTCGGTTTAAGTCTCAGTTCTGTTAATGGGTCCCTTCGACCTCCGTCAGGTGGCCTGGCTCCCATGTCATTGCCAAAACCCCGCAAGTCCTGCTGTACTCCCCACTTCGAATATTCCGCCTACCTTTTATGTCTTCTTTTGCCCTTAGAGAAGTCTTAGAGGGCAACAGCTATGGCATTACTTTGTTCAAGGGATGTGAGAACGTTGCTTGGACGGATGAAGTGCTTCTAGATGGATGGGGACCGAAGAATATTGAACAAAGTAATTCATTTTACATATTACCAGTATTTAGAACCGTATTTTCCTTCATGTTGCTGGATAGAGTCTTTGCCCATTTAGTTAATTAAGAGATTCTATGAGGGTATTTTTGCTTCCAAAAGGGCTAAACTTTTACGAAGGTTAAGAATGTCCAACATTGAGAAACACGAATGCGACAGACGCATAAATTTTTACGCTGTCCCTTACCTTGTTTACCTCAATTTAAATACTATTCTTTTAGACAAATTCTGAACTGTTGCCTTTTGCATTCTCTGCACCCTTCTTCGTTCAGCAGACAGTTGCAGTTAATCGCTCCTGTCTTTGCTACTGCTTGAGGGATAAAAACATGTCGCTATGGCTGTTCTACATCTTGCGATGCATTTGACGACTCAAAACGTGAAAGGTGAAGACAAATACCCTCTAAAAGTCACAAATGACCACAAAGAGAGAGAGAATAGTTGTTTTGATTGGAACATACACTAAATGTGAGGGTTGTGTGGACAGATTGAAGGTTGACATCCTGTTCAAGGCAAACGCAGCGGTTTTTTGAGCCATTGGCTTTGCTCTAGCCCATTTCATGCACGATTTCTAGTTGCTTGCATCTACACCTTGTCCGGTCAGTAAGTAACACGATTATCTGCCAAATGAATCCAATGTTTTCAAAAGAGTAGTGCATTACCATGCAAACTAATTTAAAGCGCACACTCCCTCTTACTGTGACGGTCTATGTTGAGGGGAAAAGTGGCATCCAACATGAGTTGTGCTAAGTGCTGACACCGCTTGATTACACGTGGATCAGCCTATGACGTTTTTTACGACCTACCCATTATTACTGGATGTTCGCGTTTTCTGCTATCGCCTCAATCAGACTACGCAAATGCAAAGAGGGGTGACAAATAAGTCCGGTTTTAAGCCGGAAACCAAATCACATGAAGTTGCTTTAATTGTGTGTTGGCGGCAAAATGAGTATGCATGGTTTTAACAGTGTGGTTTGAGGAAATGAAGTTCAGCTTTACTTACCACATACGATCTCGATCATCTTCACCCCCTGCTTTAATGGAATGCGTAAATGTTTGTGAGTTTTAGAAGCGAACGAGTTTCATTGGTGGCATTGTTGTCATAAAAACACTTGTGTTCCCTCGATTTGAGGATTGGAGGTGCAAGAATGGAGGCTGTCGAATCAATAGGCACACCGACACGCAAGTTGAAGCGCGTTTTTGCGGAGGCCACCGAAAACTTGGTGCGCAGACACGTGTGCAGCGGTAAAAGAGTGAGCTCACAAGAAAGAACTCTACATCTGTCAAGCGCTGACATTGACATGCTGAAGGTGGTCTTTTCATGTCTTCACCATTTATTTTTTGAAACTCGGCTTTGTTTTATGTCAGCATTCATGCAATGAAATTGACTCACCCGACGGTGGTGCTGGATTTTCCCCAAAACTATTTCACTTTGTAATGCATCTTCAAGTTGGCAGCTTCGTTTGGTGCATGATCAAAACGCCTCAAAGTTGTGTTGTTTTACAGGTGCACACTTTTATCATGCTATTTTCATTAATGTCCCTTCGTTAATAATGCAACGCACCTGATCGGCTAACATTTTAAGTGGAATTGGACGTCTTTTGCGTATGTGATTTGATGAGGTTAATTTCGCTAATCCCATTGATGCTTTGAAGTACTTCTCAAACTCCATCAGCTTGGTTGACGAGGAATGCAGTAAAAAGATAACGCACTTATAGAACTGAATGTGGTAATTGGCGGCCTAACGGAGGAGAGATGATGAAATGAACCGTAAATAGAGCACTCGTGCACACTCGTAAGCACATGTGACTAAAACGTAGTGACAGGCCACGTTCAAGTCGCTAGCTGTTTAAGATAGCAACTTCAAGGTGTCAGGTTTACACGGAGTCGCCAAACTGCCCTGGAACTCCATTCATACGACCAGTTAAAGCTCCGATAGCAATGCTTGCCATCGCATTTATGCTGTGAAATCTTGCACATGAGTGTGTATGGAAATGTCACATCTTCTCCCACTATTTACTCAAAGTAGGTGGATCTAGATCTTGAGAATTGTTCATTTAACGAGTTGTTGAAGACTGAATGCTTAATTTTTCTGCAAATGCTTAAGTCCCTATGGTTCATTCATTAAAATCAGAGCGTTTCCTTTATTACTTTTTCTTTTGTGGTTTCATAGGAAATTTCGCGTCGATGAAGTGATGCCATATGCATTAAGTAAATGCTCGCCACATTGGTGGTGAGGCTGCGGTTTTCACAGGACCTGAATGAAAACTCCACCCCTTAGTGCTGAAGTTGACACTGTCAAGTTTGGCCAACAAACTTCTCGGATTATACTTTGCTTTTGAACTTCAATACGAATTCCTTAAGTGGCCATCGTTGATGAAAGGCATTGTCCATTGCGCCTAAGCTCCTCTGTCCACTAATCTTTAAAACAAGACACATTCCTTAGGAAACCCTTTGCTTGGCTATGATAAAATCCTTGTATGAAGAAACAGAGAGCGACAGCCCTCACAACTCAATGGTAAAGGCTCAATTGCCTGCAAACTTTTAAACACCTTCAAACACTTCTAGTCATTCCGATGTTTTGTTTGTTTAGGTTAACATATTTTCATTACTCTCCAAAGAAATTTTCGTTAAAGAGCAGCAGAAGGAAAGGAGGCTTCTACAATGAATGAAATTAGTAAATTGCTGTCCAACTCCAAGTTATTATCAGGTTGCCCATTACTAAAAGGGCTAACTAGCACCAAGTGGACGTTGACGTCGAATGGGTCTGAGTCGAGTCAAAAAGTATGACTCCCTACATGACGTTTTGAAGAAAACACGAGAACTATTAAAGCTTTCGAATTACAGCATCAGTTTACATAAATAATTACTAGCTAGCCATCATGAGCTGCAGCTTTCCATTGCTCAGTGTTCCCGGTCATCAAGATAAAGAATTATGGTAATCCGCAGAACTAGTTGAGTCGAGGGCTAGGGCGTCGAAATAGGCTTAAGAGAATGTGACACAAAAGAAGACAAGTTTGGAACTCGATAGCTTAGCACACCCACCAATCGCCTCATGCATTGACCTCACATGCCGGACAGTTAGACCGCAACCATTACTGGACAAGAGTCGTCTAATGTCTGCAAGTATCCTAATCCCCTGAGCCTATAAATTTAGGGAGACGGTCGTTTACCAAAGCTACACCTCTTCACTCCACAATATTCGTGCTAGCAAACGTCCCACATACAGGAAGAATCAGCATTTGACTGAGTAAAATTCTTACCGCAAGGTCCTTGCACAAGTGATGTACTTGTCAGTCCTGGAGCATCAGTATCTGTTTTGAAGATACCAACTTATTTGATATTTAATCTACTTTCGTACCTCTGCCAAGGCGTCAGGGCAAATCGACTACCAAACCTCGCTCGCTGACCTCCTTTTGATAAGGCAAATAAAACGGTTCTCTGGGCGCTAAAAAAAATCCAAAGAATTTACACATGGAAATCGGTTAAAATAAGTCAAAATTCATGGACTTTGGGGTAAATAGTCAGTGACTGCGTAACTGTCGGTCTGTCCGTCTGTCCTCACAGCCGACCGAATGGCTGTGCGTTGGGATGGTTGTGACGGTAAGGCGAAAGAAAGGAGAGGAGGACAAAATCAAAAGAGCTTGGGTGAGGAGTTGCAGTCAGATCGTACTTCAAGGAAGGTCAGATTGCATCAGGTGTCCTCACCTAGGCTTGACTAAGAGGATCGCACCGCGCAGGACTGCTGTGCTCCACTCGCCTGCTGCTGCTGCTGCTGGCGTTGATGAAGTTTGCGAACCTCGTCAAACATCATCTGCTTCAGCTTCTCTATCGGCTGCTCATCCACTTTCTCTTCCTCGTACTCAAAGGGGTTCTCACAGACGGGCTGCGAGGCAAAACAATGGCAATTGTGGCCGATCTAATTTGATTCAAGAACCCCGTTACCTAGGACCAGTCTGTGCAATAACACCAATAAGACTTCGACGCAAACAACTATTCCCGCCTGCACACTGACCACCTTTTCAACCCAAGCGAACATTCGCAATGCTGATTTCGGAGCGTCATTGAAGGCAAAAAAGCGTAGTGATGAGGAAAAACATCACTGGTAGCAATTTTAATCCTCATTCAACCCTGCCTTTACGATCAAGCAGACGGATTAGTCAAGCGAAAGGCACAACAATTGAAAGTCATCACAAATATACGAAGAATGTGGCCTCGTTATGACTCTTGCGTTTTATGTTCGACTCGAAATACTTACAATCCAAAGTATTTCTCAAAAAAGTACTATTATACCTCGAGAGGACCTTCAAGCCTCCCCTCTTAAGTCTACCTTAATACTTGTCTCTCAGAAAAGATTCGCGAGTAGAAACATTCTCTCTCATAAACGAAAATTTTAATTGGATTTCTAACAGTAATTAAGACTACAAGTGATGATGCTTATTCGGGGATAGACCTTGTTGCCAAGTGCTGTGAAGCAAACATCCCAATGCCCTCCACTAAGGTTTCAGGAACAATGAAGGTCCCAAAAAAATCAAGCCTTGTAAAGTGGATTTACAATTACCTCGTCATTGGGTTCGTAGAAAGATCGCAGGTACGGGTGCTTCAGAGCGTCCTCAACGGAGATTCGAGAGGCAGGATTGAAGGCTAATAATCGGTCCAAAAGGTCAAGTGCTGCAAAAAATGAAGATTAAATTTATTGTCATTTAATGTAATCTATGCTTAATCAACTTCTCTTTAAACTTGAACTGTTTTAAATGGCTTTTTGCCGAGTCCACACTTCTACCCTTTCAGCGCGATTGGATGAACGAACTAAGACAAACTTTTACGAGACTCCGCACTCGAATATTAGCAAACATTTTCATTTATTAGAGGTAGTGATGAGGATAAAGGTGGTAAACGCGACCGGTCTTATCTAGGCATTTATATTTGATGCGGGTGGATTATTCTCGTTGCAGTGAATTCACATCAATCTCAGAAGGTTCCAAAAACGGTGACAGCGTAGATGCTAGAAGAACACCTCACGACGCATTTGTCTCTTCAAGTAATTATCTACCCACTCTCCACATAAACTTATCACGATGGTCCTATGCAAGCCCAATGTGACGTACTGAAACCTGAATCCAACCGCAAATAACTCAAGTGAGATATGCATCCATTTATGTTCGCCATCAAAAGGCTTACTTATGCTTATGGTGTAACGAATAGAGAAGGACACTTAATAAGGGGACTGGGAATAAACGTTGAATCTGCGTCACTCTCAGTGTGTTGCTCAGAGCAGTTATTTATACCCTCCGACCGAGGACCGGTAGTAAATTGGCTGGAGGAGTGTCATCCCGATGAAACGCTCAACAGCGTAGACTTGAAACAATGCCTTAACCGAAGTTGACTCACAATACATGCGATAAGCTTAGAGATATGGAATTCTTCATAAATTTAAGTTTTGTACCACAATTTTTGCTTGAACCAAATACAAATACTGCAGTCCTAAAAAGCGGGCATCGAGAAATTTGAATAGGCTAGTGAGTGCAACCTCGAAATAAACGACTATCTTTATGCAAACAACACATTTTCCATCAGCAACATCTCTCTTAAGAATTTATAAACCACCAAATTTGTCTGTGACGGTGTGCGACAATTGTTTCAGTGATCCCAACGTCGGAGCTCCTGTCCGAAAA